TTAAGCACATACTATAGAGTGGATCGGTCTAATAAAGTTTCTTTTTCTTTTTAAACTAAACAACCGCTAAAATTTAACCTAAGATTGAATATCGAACATGATGGCGAATGTCCCAAAGAATTATGAAGTTTTTTTTTTTTTTAATAATTGTGAAAAGGTATATGTACGTTTATCATTTCATTTTGAAGAAAAATACATGAAATCAACAAAAGTCTTCAACTAATATATAGTACTAAAACTTATAAATATATACTTCGTATATGAAAAATCAAAGATGATAGGTGCCATGCATTCAAAATTATTATTGTTGTAACAATATATTATGCCAAAAATATACGGAGTATCATATTAATATTGTTGTAGGTAGGCACTAAACAAAAAAATATAAGTAAGCAATGTCAATATAACATTATACAAGTATATACTGTAATTTTCTTAATAAATATTTTCAAACATCTTGTTAAACGGACTATTCATACGTCTATAGTCTCTACTAAATTTAATGAAAGAGTCCTACGTAAGGTCATACATAAGACAAATTTTCTTACACGAGAGGAATGTTTTTTTGTTCAAATATTCCTTGTAATAAAAGTAATTAGAATCCGATATTTCTGCCTTGGAATTTTCATGAAATTAAGTGGAGCCATAATCAAGTTGTGGAATTTTATTTTTACTTTAAATTGCACAAAAATATATGCTCAAAAACAGCCAAATTCGTGTGACTTTGGTTTAATTTCATGTGTATTGAACATAGAATAATAGAATAGAAATTACCAAGTAAACAATTGACGAATTAATTTCAAACTACTACGAAAGTTCCTCTTTTTATGACTACTGTGTAATTTTCAAAATATACTACTCCATATAAATTTGCATACGACAAAATATACTATGAATGTAATAATTTTATCATCTAGGGCCTATTATATAAGTTTGAAACCAAATTATGGAAAAAAAAAGGACATTTTGTGAAAAACTATCTTATAAAACACTTTTTTTTTTTTTTTTTTGCGAGAAATTACCTAATTTAAAAAATGTTATAAGAAACTACCTTATAAAAGGCTAAATGTTGTAAGAGACTGCCATTGGTCGGAAAGTCACCGATGAATTTCAAATTCCGGCGTTGACCACATCACGCTGGAAAATGAAATTCAACCTATTGATGACAGTGCCGCAATGGTAATTCAACCTAATACGAGAGGAACCGTTGATTCACACAATTGGTCATCGCGCTTGATTGAAAATAAATTTAGTGGCGCGAAACTACCATGTGCTGGATTATGACTGAACGCCTCTAAGTCAAAATCCGGGCTAGAAGCGACGCATGCGCCCGCTGCCCAATTGTCGTCCTACAGTAGGGGCTTCGGCCCCCAAGGGCACGTGTCGTAGGCTAAGCTCGCGCGGTGGATGCGCCGTGAGAGTGGCCTTGAAGTATAATTCCTACCGAGCAGCGGGTTGAATCCTTTGCAGACGACTTAAATACGCGACGTGGTATTTTAAGTGACAGAGTGGCCTTGATGTCACGATCCACTGAGATTCAGCCCTATGTCGCTTCGATTCGTCCCTCCACCCCACCCTATTCCCTAAAAAACACCTATATTTTGGAAAACGAGGTTAGTGTTGCTTCTTATATGCTAAAAAAATGCTAAGTAGTGGATTGAGACAAGTCACAAGCCAAAGTTTTGGGGCGTGGGATGGTGCAAGGGGGCGTGTGGCATGTGCACAAGACATGTGCACCCAAGGATAAGGCATACAAACAACTAGTTTTGTCGTTTGAGGGTATGCCATCGTTGCCTTAAGACATGGTGCTTAAGAATGAATGAGATGGTTCTGGGCATCATCCATGACTCCCAAGGCCCTTTGGGAACCCATGGAAGTACTTGGATGCATAATCTTTCCGGGTGAAAAAATGATGTACGGAAGCCAAATTTGAAGGCTATAATACACGAAATCGGAGCAATTTAGTAGGTTTCCGGACCCAGTGTCAGAAATTCATGGAATTTTACGGGATGCATCTCGAGGTCATATGATGTTGATTGGACCCATATACAACCATAAGTCGGCTACATAAAGGCCCCGTGGAAGCCTATAGCCAATACAAGTGGCGTGTACGGAAACTGGTAAATTGGATGCTTAAAGGCAAATTGGATGGTTTCACCCACCCAATTGGACTTCCGGAGGGTATTAGGGTTTATAGGTAGTTTCTCGGCAATTTTTGTTTTCGGGTCAAAAAAAGTCAAAAATTGGCAAAATCGAAGGCATAATACACGCTTTTTGGCCAATTTCGGAGGTTTCGGGACCCGACGTCGAAAAGTATCGAGATACTAGGGGATACATCCCAGGGTCATATAATGTCGTTTGGAACCATATATGATCATTATATGTTTCCATAAATGTCCATAGCAGCCTCGAGTTTATGAAATCGGTCCAAGTCGTAAACGGGTAAATTGACAGTTTGAAGGTATATTGGATGATTTTACCCACCCAAATGGACTCTCGGGGTGTATTAGGGTCCATGGGAAGCATCTCGACAATTTTTGTTTCCGGGTCTAAAAAGGTGAAAAAAATGTCCAAAATTGAAGGCTATATATAATACACGATTTCGGGTCATTTTTTGACATTTTTTCGAAAACTGAACTGAATACGTAGTGGGATGACTCCCTATAATTATGAAACAATTTCATCAACTTCTGTTTTAGTAATAGTTAATAGATATGCTTCGTATTATACATCCTCTATATTTCCTTTATTATTTAATAACATGCATGAAAATAAATTAATTTATTTTATATCCCTATAATTATGAAACAATTTCATCAAATTAAAGTATCTTTTCACCATTTTTTTTTACTCAACAAGATTATTAAACTAATTACTCGTATGACGTATCTCCATTTACATAATATATTGGAAATGTTTGTTTCGGTTTGATTTGTTTGTTACCTTGAATTTTGTTTGACAGATATAATTGAAAATACGAAGATGAGTACAATTATGCAGGAAAACGTTCATTTCACTCCTTCACGTCCATTTCACCGCAGAAAAACTAAAATACCCATGTTTAAGGCCTTGCTTGATCAAAATATACTTGTTCATGATCATTTTTCACCCCATGAAAATATTCCCATAAGTTGTAATTCTATGGTAACATCCCCTCATCATCAAGAGATAGCTACCACTTATAAGCAAGGTGACACGGTGCAACGTTCACATCCCTACTTATGCTTCCACGATATCCTCAACAGTTGCCCTAATCTTGTAAGTGTTGCAATTTTCTGTATATCTATATACTCGTGCTATATATTTGCTAGCTAGCTTAACTAGTAAAATTATTGAATCTTACATTTTGAGAATTTTAGCCTTAAATTAAATCTTGTCTGCATTATTAATTGTAACCTATATACTCTATACAAATATAAATCCAAGAGATTGTTTAAATATATTTTTATGAAGTGTTAATTTTACGATGTAGTTAAGCAAAATAATAGATTAATGTATTAGACTATTAGTGATATAATATAATTGATAACGTAATTTTTTTTTTTTTTGGGTGCAAATTAACAAGGGGCTAGGCGCTGAAAAACTAAAACAATAAAATTGACATAAGGGAGGGACAAAACGTAACATAGCTACAACACCATCATCATTGTGTAATATACGATCTAAAGCTAAAGGAGGGATTTATTGAAAACCTAATACTCGTATGAAAAGGTATAACTTTTGAAGTATATACGAGTATTATAGAAGAGGTGGCCCACCTGTCTATGCATCTTATAAGTCAGGCCCGTTTGTTGTGGGCTAAAGAGTCCAATATAAGTTTGCTGGATCTTTTTTCTATATAATTGCCCAATACTCATTATTTAACCCCTTTTTTTTATTTTTTTTTATTTTTTTTTATTTTTTTTTTGGCAGAAGGGTTACAAGCAAGGTGAAGTGTATGGCTGTACGTCTTCATCATCGTCGTTATCGCTGTCGTTATCGTTAGCAACAGATGATGATCAAAACTTGAATACCGAAATTAATTTAGATTGGAACTCGTCATGTAGGATTAGGGCAGCTGGTGTTGAAGATGTTTCCCTAGACCTTACTCTTTCTTAGCTAATTTGATGAAGGTCATGTTTAACTAATTAAGAGATACATTAGATATATTAGAATATTATATTATTATGTAAACATGCATGTTGAAAGTACGTAGAATGGTTAGTTTGTAGTTTCTTAGAAAAATAATCTTCTTTAATGAATTAGTTTCTTGAAATTAAACTCAAATAGTCAAATCAGATTATACGAGTAACTAGTATATATATTACCATATTTTTAGTAAAGTTAGTTAACTTTTTTAGAGTAGAGAGAATAACAAAACGCAATGATACAGATGAGATTTGATTCTATACAGCGGAGCTAGATGACGCCCATACTGAAATATAGATGAATAGATCTAGCTAGCAAGTAGAAACTATCCCATCCACACGCACTTCGATTTATCCACAAAAAAGGAAAACAGGAATCAAGTGATTCTCTTAAATTCAAACCGCTTACTATGTCATATATTCCTTTACTACAAATGGAATGCATAATTGTAGTATTCACGATGTTTTTGTTGAGTGCAAACCTAACAAAATTAATGTCGGTGTACTATAACTCTTGTTAAAGGTACAAAGATATAATTCCGACCATAAATATTACTCCGTACTATGAAAAAGGCGAAATTACTGTTAAAGTTGAATAAAAATTGGTTATATGTAGTTTTCAAAGCATATATATGATGTAACATAATATATAGTTACCATATTTAGTAGAGCAAAAGTAGCACGGACATAAAATGACTTGGATAAAAAAATTGGTGTTTTATTTTGTCAATTAATATTGCTTCATCTAGTTGCCCTAAAAATTTAATACGTACGTACCTATACATCTATATATATCCCCTTATTTGGAGTTACAATGTATAACATCCATTATTTAGGTTAACATATATATTACTATATTGTAAGTACAAAAATATGGCTAGCAAAATTGTTGTTTTAGTACTCATGAGTGCCCTTGTTTGCACCACCATTGATGCTAGGAAGCTCGTTGGTGGACTTGATGAGCAAAAAACCTTCCTTCCCAGTGAGCCACTCCAACCTGGTGGTGGTGGACTTGGAATCGGGACAGGAGGAGGCCTCAGTTTAGGGATAGGTTTTGGTCATGTTGGATTGGGTGTTGGTAGCGTGTTTGGAGGTGGAATAGGGCTTGGACATGGGGGTGGAGCGGGAGGAGGGTTTGGCGGTGGTGTTGGTGGTGGTGCCGCCGGTGGTGGTGGAGGGCTTGGAAGTGGAATCATCCCCTAGGCTAAATATTCTCTTGCTATATTAACTAAATTTATTGGCACAATGTTGCTAGTAATTATTAACTTTAGTACATTTACTATTATTGTGTTTTCTAATTAAGCTTATTAGCCTATGGGTTAACTATGTTCCTAATGTTGATTTAGTTCCCACTAGGTCATTTGAATTATGATTAATGTTGCTGTCTTTGTTGCAGTTAAATCATCTGCATTATTCCCAAGTAAACTAAAGCTATAAGCTAAGTATGTTTGTAAGTTGTGCACTTGGTCAACTTTTAACGTGTTATATGAGCGATATAAACATGTATCAATAATGTATGTAGATTACGCGCCTTATTATTATTTTTTTTAACTTTTTTTTTTTGTTGCTTAATCAATTAGCCTTTTTACAAAATTATAATTAAATTGTTAACCTGTTGAAAGTATACATGGAGTTGTATAATAAGATTGCTTCTTAATATATTTTTCATGCATGTATATGTAACGTTAGAATTGAGATCATGTGAGAACCAAGGTGAATAATAAGAACTAGGAACTAATCTCAGCCATTGATCGCACTCCATCTAATGGCTCATATTGCACCCGCTCTCATTAATGGCATTCTCGTAATTTTGTTGATTTTAAACTTTTTTCTATTTTTTTAACTATTAAGGCAATTTTATTTACTTTAACACTGGCTTCATTTACTTTTACTAAATTTTCATTTACTTTTGAGAAATGAAACTGAAAACTACTTTATAAAGTTAAAATATTACAAAAATGCCATTGATGACACGGGAAGTATGTGAGCCGTCCGATTAACATGATTTAAGGGCCTAGATTAGTTCCTAGTTTTTATTTTAGCATTGGTTCTCATTATAACTTGGTTCTATATATATATATATATATATATATATATATATATATATATATATATATATATATATATATATATATATATATATATATGGAATTGCATAATCAATTTATATGTAGACAAATAAAATGAAACAAAGGGAGTAGTTTCTCCAATGAAAATCAAAAGATATACTAATATATGAGGGCTATACCAGTGGTTAAATACTTAATTTGCATTAGTTAGCATAACATGCATGCTTCAAGAGAGCTAGATATTTCTCCATGCATACAGATTGGGGTTCCATGTGAGATTTATATGTTTGACTTATATAAAATAATCCTTACATTAAACTAATTATCATAATTATAATGTATATCGAACTAAGATCGTATTCTTTATCCTAATAATAAAAAATTGGACAACACTTTAAGGAGGAAAAATTAAGGAAATAAATTACACACTCTATATTACTTTTTGCATGTTAATTAGTGAAGAAACCAGCTGCAGAACATGTATGCATGTTCTACTTAGCTCCTAATTATCGTAATAATTATTAATTATCCTAATAGAAATCATATACAAGTATATAATATGGTTTAGTTTAACAAACTTTTGGTTGTATTAATTCTTAGTTAATTATATTAATTAATAAATAGCCGCGGCGATTTGTTGGTTGTTAATGAGATCCATATTTCTGGGATATTTGCTATTTGAAAGAATAAATATCAAGGTTATCATGCGACATTTTTTGGTGGGGAAATCTACTAATTTGAAATTAATACAGATCAAAATTATTATTTTTATTTAGACTATATTTCATTGTAAAGCGGATCTTAAGCTGTATAATCAATTATTGTTAAATTCCAACTACATAGCTTTACAGGAGAAAAATAAAGATTACTATGTAAATTTAACAAAATTAGATAAACTTTTTGGCCGGTCAGAATACAAAATTTAGAGAAAATAAAAATGAAATTTGACTACTATCCAAGAAAAAAAAGAGAAGCGTTTAGATCAGTCGCATGTCTAAAGAAGGTTTCATCCTAAAACATATGGACTTTGAATTGATTAAATATGGAATACTTGTACCGGTATAAGTTTAGCTAGAACATAAATTGATATACGGAGTATAATTTCGAGAGATAAATTAAGCCAAATAGAGTACATGTAAGTTGTTCACGTGACTCTTAAGCTGGCATCTACTTGAGAAAATCAAATATGGGTATAGGTCGGCCGGAAGGCTGCCTAGCTTATTGTACGTAGTACACTAGAGTAAACATCGTATAGCATATACTACAGTATAGTGCAATAGATAAATTGCAAGGAAATCGAGCTTAAAAGTTGTTTTGGTATTACATTAATGGAGATGCATCACAATCACAAGCAAACGTCAAAGGGTCTATTCACTTCAGCTTAATTTCGGCTCAATTCAATTTAGTTTAGCTCCAATCAGTTTAGTTCAGTTCCTAATTTTCTTCTCTCATAAAAATTCAATTCAGCTTATTTCAGTAAATCAGAACAGGCCCTAAAAGGGACATTTAAGTTTACCTTTGATAACGTTTTAATTAACGCATATTTTGCGATAAATTGATGGATCGGATATATAATGGTATCCCAATGATTCGAGAGATATTTGACAATTAAAGCTTAGGCCCAATTAAGCTAGAACCTTCCCCGGCCCCTTGCATGTCTTGCAAATTATTGTATGATTACATAACATTACACTAATATATACATACAAGCAAGTATAAGTTTGATTTCTAAAAAGACAAGGAATTCCACTGAAATGCACATCAAATTGAGATTCTTGGTACTTGCACAAATTTAAATTGATCTTTCTAGAACATACATTAAGTAATTACAACAACAACAAAAAATGACTCATTTTTGACAACATTGATCTTATCTTGTAGCTAGCTTCAAAGTCAATAAACATTAGGTTGATTATATTGGAGGTATGGGTAGCACAAAGGTAGTGGACCTGCATGCATGTGTGGAAGCAACGATAAGCTAGACCAAATCAGCTATAACTTGGTCATAACATAATAACATAACATTTGATCTTGATATATTATGACAAAAAGAAAGGTTGTTATTTTTAGAATAATGTTTTGATGCCTAAAAGGTAACAATATTGGGTTCACTTTAGTTCAAGTTCTTCCAAATCTAGTACCAACTCCCACTAGTCCAATTGCCTTAGAAATTATAAGAGATTTAAATTAGTGAAATTTGCTAAAACTTTGAAAAAAAAAAAGTATCCCCAATCTAGATACTAATTTTGCTCGATAAAGGTCTTTAGCCTTAATACTACATTCGTCTGGATTTTGTTGTCATATTACTAATTTGGTAACTTCATATTTAACTTACTATATAACAAGGGAATGGATTCGAGACAAGCTAGAGTGTGCAAATTTATAAAATCTGTTGTACTCCATCTTATCAATATGTATGTCACTTTAGACAATTTATTTTGATCAACGTTTATGTGTCATTCGAATATTACAGAGTAGTTAAAATATAACTATGATATATTACCGTTTAATTTTATCTTTTTAGTCAAATTATTAATGCGTGAAAGTGACAAACCGTTTGTTGGAGGAAAAAAAAAAATTAGATTGTACTTAATTAACAATTTAGGACAATAGTAAAAAAAAAAAAATATATTTAGGACCAAGGGATGTTAAAATTAGATTATGAATTATATATTATAACCAATCCTATCTTTGAATGCCAAATAATTAAAAGATTGTAACTACATTATTTTGAAATTATAATAATGTAGCCTATTATTTTTATCATAAAATCTGATAAAAGTAATATATTATATTATTGTGAATTTGTGAGACAGATACAAAATTGTATTAAGAAATTAAAATATGAGTGAAAAATTGTAGAAAAGCAAAAAAAAAAAGGAAAAATACAAAAAAAACCCAAAAATTTAATAATGAAAAAGCATATTTAGCTAGTTTTTCAAACAAGGTGTCACATGGGCTTAATACCAAAGGAATGTGTTTGTTATTAATAATTTCTTTCTCTTCCAATTTCTATCAACACAAATCATACACAATTTGTGCACTTATGCTGTCTTCCAATGTCTATTAAGCAAGACAAAATTACAATGTGACCCACTATTTGGATATGTATGCCTGCCAATGCAAGTTATTAAAAGTGCTTTAGATTTTTTTTTTTTTTTTAGAAAAAATATCCATGTTTGCACCATTTTATGAATTAACCCTAATTATTCTCTAAAGCTCGTTAAACACAATAATTATGAAAGCAATATTGACTAAGGCTCTATTTACTTCACCTTATTTCTTACAAATTGAATCCACACATCAAGTATGTCCGATTGCCTAAAATGTTGATTAGTTTAGATAAAGAAAAAAGATAGTAGTACGTGGAGTCTTAAATAAAAAGAACAAAGCCTCATTTATTTCATTGAGTTTGAGAAAGCATCGCCGAGTTTGAAAAAGCAGATGTAAATGCAAACGATTGCTAAGTATGCGCGGTTTTAAAGCAATTTAGGTATCTATAACTTAAAAAATGAAATTGATTATTGATTAAAGAAATAATACTCTAAGCCGAGCTTTTAAAGTTAAGGGCTTCCTATAAAATGGGTGCAAATGTGGGAGAAATATTACAAAAAAAGCTTAAATATACAATATACAAGTATAAGGTTAATTCCTAAGTTATTTATAACATTTTACTCCGTAATTTTTACGTGCCAACACACACCATTAATTTATATATCTATTTCTATGTTGATAAAATGTAATTCTTCGATCAAATAAAGAAAAATTGAAATTTGTGGTACTTGCATATATATGGAGTAGTAAATTTTTTTCAATTTGAAGAAAAACAAAGAGCATTTAACTAAGGAATGTTACATATCTTAAGTATTTGGAAATATGAGAGTTCTAGGTGTTTTGAACTTTTGTTTTTTAGATGAACTTTGGTTACTCGGCAACAATGAGATAATATTCATATTTTAAAGGTTAATTTTTAAATTACCATCTAAAAATGTAATCATTTTTGAACTAACCACCCGTTTGATTTTTTAATTTAAATAACCACCCCTTAAATTAAATAAATGCTCAGATTACCACCCATTTCAAAAATCTGGTGGATTTTCCATCTGTAGGCCCTACCTAACACTTATTTTTACTCTTTTGACTGATTTTTTTCTCTGACTTTTCTCTTTAAAAACGCTCTCTATACTTTAATTCACATTTCCTTCACCAAATTATACCAAATTTCAAATAGAAAAATGTAAATTGAAGTTTGTTAAGCCAAGCCCGTATATATTGTATTTAGTTGGTTAACGGGGTATGTTAAAGCCCTTACTTTGAGTTGTATAAATACCTTGTTTACATGGAATACAAACTAAGAATACACATTCTTGACATGGTATCAGGCCTAACTAAATTTAAACCCTAAACACAGAATTTTGCTTTCCTCTCTACTGTCGATCAAGAACAGCCATGGAAGAGGGCAAACTTGACAAAGTTAGAAGAGCGTTTTTAAAGAGAAAAATCGGGGAAAAATCAGTCAAATTGAGAGGTAGATGGGGCCCACAGACGAAAAATCCACCGGATTTATGAAATGTGTGGCAATCTGAGCATTTATTTAATTTAAGGGGTGGTAATTTAAAATAAAAAATTAAACGGGTAGTTAGTTCGAAAATGGTTACATTTTAAGGTGGTAATTTAAAAACTTATTTGAAAGGGCATTCCTGTATACTACCTCTGTTTCTTTTTAGTTGACACATATTCATTTTTAGGAAGTTTTTTTAGTTGACACGTTTCCTTTTGCGTTAAATTTTTTACCTTGCATTTACAAGCTACCTCACTTGCTTTTTCATTCTCTCTCACTCTCTCTCCTCTCCTTAAAATATGTGACTAAATCAAACGCGTCAACTAAATAGAAACGGAGAAAGTATTTTTTTTAATCCACTTTCATATATTCATCAAGTGTAAGATAATTAGGAAACTCTAGCTTATCTTCTTTTAATTTTGTCTATTAGTTTTACTTTCTGTATAAGCTCTTGTCAAAAAAAAAAAAAAATGGTGTAAGATAATTAGGAAAAAAAAAAGTTATAGTTTTTAGGTGTATTTAGATACAGACTTTGACATTTGCTCAAATCATTGGTAGCTGGTGCTAAGATGGTACAATTGGTCTTTGCTTCGAAGGAATTTCATGAAGATATGGTCACCCACTCCACCATTTCTTGTTTCATCAAAAATATAGTATGCATATTAATTAAAAAAAAAAAAACACCTATATTTTTGCTTACCTTTATAAAATAAATAATTCAATAACTTTACCTGATTATATGCATTATGCTACTATTATTAGCTATAAACCATATATAATAATTAAGTGGAAATATATGCTAGGCAAGACATTAATGTTGGTTTTCTAGTGAAGAAAATTGTAACATTTGACTAAAAACCAAGTGTGTACATCATGTAGCACAAACAATTGCTGACAGTACTAGTGTTGACATTGAGAACAAATGTAAGTTCACATTATACATTTCATTCATTATATATACATGAATACATCTAATTGTATGTTATTATATATTAATATATGTGTATTCGATTTTGGTAAACAGTCTAAACACTTCTAAGGATTAGTACATGGTCATTTTCTTTATATAATACAATCGGTGGTACGTATAATTTAATAACCATGTGGTTATTTCTTTATTCACTTGTTTGTGACTTTTGAACACACATGCCAAAAAGTTGTCTTGGTTGAACCTTGTAACCGTTGTACAGTGAGTGTATACTTATGTTCATGTATTGATGTATGTAAAGAGTGTAACAGTGTGATCGACCCATCATTGTGTCTTAGTTAGTTTATCTTTCTCCTTTAGGGAGGAGAGGTTGTTGATTACTCTGAGTAGGTTATATCATACACAAAATATTATATTAACGTAGATTGGTTAATAAGGATATAAAGCTATAAAATTCTAGTAAAAAATAGATTGGTTAATAATATGACAAACAAAAATAATAAGCAACAATAATTGCCTATGACTAAAAAAAATGCCTATGTTTTTCTCCGATATTTCTCCAATTATATCAATTCACATTATTATTATCTCTGATGGAATATATAGGAGATATTAGGTGTTAAATCTTGAACAGTAATAGTAGTAGCTCAAAGAAAGGGTTCACAAATAAGTGAACCAATGAACCATATATGGTTCGACGTGAGATGTTTGAGATCTAGGCGATGATTCTTCGCTAAATATTGAGTATATATATCTCAATTGGTATTATGAAAGTAAGACTTGTTCTGCTCAACTTATTTTCATCAAATTTCTCTTGTATTTTTGTTGAAAAATAACATTTACACTTATTTTTGTTAAAGTTAACAAATTTTATTTAAATAAAAAGTTTAATTTATTGGATAAAACTAATTTATACTTCGAAAGTTTCTTTTTAGTTGACATATTTCTTTAGTCACGTTTGCCAATGCACTTATTCAATCATTAATATCTTTAATTATCGATAAACAAAAATTATGAAAAGTTGATATTTTAAAAGTATATAACGTGACGAATCTAACAAGATCCCACAACTATATTTTTCATTACGTATAAAGCACAACACACGGTCAAAGGGAGGTGTGTGAATAGTGCTAAAGTCAAAACGTGTCAACTAAATAAAAACTGAGGTAGTATAACTTTCTCAAAAAAAAAAAAAAAAAAAAGCTAATTTATATAAGCCAAGTCGAGCAAGTGACCTCCAAAGAAAGTTTAAACATAATGCAACCACTAAAAAATCCCTGAAGCGGAAGGATCGAAGATTAATTAATACTTCCATTACAAATTTGCAATAATTTGACATAAAGTAAAGAGAAAAAATGTCTAATCGTTGCAAATAATACGAAATGGAGGTAGTATAAAGAAAAAAACAAGAAACTACAATCATATCTATCAAATGTTGTATAAAGAATAATATTAAAAGGAATGTCTACTTAATTAAAGAACAAAACAAGAAATTACTAGAATTTTATAGCATTATATCCTTAGTGATATAGTGGTTAGACTAGGCAACTCATAGAATTGACCAATGTTGTATAAAGAATATCAAAAGGAATGTCTAAGCTACTTAAATCTAATCAAATCAATGATTGAATAAATGGTATTTGTTTATTGGAACTTGAGACACTTGACATGTGTATATAAAGTACGGAAACCTAGAGCAAAAAATCATATCTATCAAACAAAGTGGGAGATAATTACTACAAAGAGAATCTAATCATATTACTATTACTTACATACATAACAAGTCCCATTAAGAGACATGGCTTTGTCTGCCAAAGCTCTCTATTCCATTACACTTCTTCTCATGATAACACTTACCTCTTTAAGTAATACAATTCATGGTGACGAAGAAGATGGTGGTGGATTCTTTGGTCATTGTGCATATCGGTGGAGAGGTTGCGGAAGCTTCTTTAACAATGCATTTGGGGGTGGGGGGAGGCGTGGTAGTAGCTTTGGAGTTGGTAGTGGTCAAGGAGGTGGTGGTGATGATAGTGAAGGTGGCAATGTTGGTTATAGTGTTCAAAAGACTATTAATAGTGGTGGTGGTGGTGGAGGGGGTAGTGGTAGTGGTTCAATAGAAGGTTCAGGTCATGCAGAAGGTCATGGAGAAGGTGCTGGTGGTGGAAAAACAACCAGCGGTATTATTAGTGGAGGTGGAGGAGGAGAAGGTGGTGGTTCGGCTGAAGGAAAAAATGGTCATGGGGAGGGTCATGGAAGTGGTGCTGGGGCTGGAATTGGAGACACAAGTGGCAATACGGTTGGTGGAGGTGGAGGAGGAGAAGGTGGTGGTTCAACTGAAGGAATAGATGGTCATGTTGAAGGGCATGGAAGTGGTGCCGGTGCTGGAGTTGGAAGTACAGTTGCAGGTGATGTAGGAGGAGGCGGAGGAGGCAGTGGAGGAGCAGTAGTAGAAGGATTAGGTGCACATGCTGAAGGGCATGGTCAAGGTCTTGGTACTGGAGTCACAAGTGGGGGTGTAGCTGGAGGAGGTGGTGGTGGAGGAGGAGAAGGTTCATCAGAAGGGTTAGGTGGACGTGCTGAAGGTCATGGAGAAGGTATTGGTGCCGGTATTGGAGTTACAAGAGGTGGTACAACAGGAGGTGGTGGGGGTGGAGGAGGAGGAGGTTCAACAGAAGGATTAGGTGGTCATGCGGAAGGACATGGAGAAGGTGCCGGTGCTGGAATTGGAGTCACGACTAGTGGTGCAGCAGGGGGAGGTGGTGGAGGAGGAGGTTCAGCAGAAGGGGTAGGTGGACATGCAGAAGGGCACGGACAAGGTCTTGGTGCTGGTATTGGAGACACAAGCAGTAATGTAGTTGGCGGAGGTGGCGGTGGACAGGGAGGTGGCTCAGTAGAAGGTTTAGGTGGACATAGTGAAGGGCATGGAGAAGGTTTTGGTGCTGGTTTTGCACACACAAGTGGTGGTTCTACTGGAGTTGGTGGTGGGGGAGGAGGTGGAGGTGGAGGAGGATCATCATCGCATGATTTAGGCGTTCATGCAGAAGGGCATGGAGAAGGAGCAGGTGTAGGTGGTGGAGTTGGAGGTGTAGGTGGTGGCTTTGGAGGGGGTGGTGGTGGTGGTAGTTTTTCACAAGGTTTAAGTCATGGTGAAGGACACGGAGAAGGTGCAGGTGGTGGGTTTGGCAGCTCAAGTGGAGGCGGCGGTAGTGGCGGTGGAGGTGGCGGAGGGGGTGTTGGTGGAGAAACTGGTGGTTTTGGAGAAGGTTTTGGCCACGGTAGTGGATATGGTGTAGGAGGTGGAGTAAATAGCTTTGGTGGTGGTGAAGGCTCAGGAGGTGGAGGAGGTAGTGGTAGCGGTTTGGGCTCGGGGAGAGGATTCGGTCATGGTTTTGGCTTTGGTGCAGGATTTGGAATTGGTGGTGGCGAAGGTGGAGGGGGCGGTGAAGGTGGTGGAAGTGGAGGTAATGGTCAAGGGTATGGTCAAGGAGAAGGTAGGGGTTTTGGGGCGGGTGGTACTAGTGGAGGCAATACTGGTTTGGGTCATGGTGGTGGAAAAAATTTTGGTGGCAGCCAAGGAATAGGCATGGGATTTGGTATGGGTATGGGATTTGGATTCGGGATGGGTGTAGGTGCTAATAAACGTTTAGATACTAATAGCAATGTTGAAAATCACAAGCACTAAGTATCTATGTAACAATATTATACTCTCACAATTTTCTATTTGCGATTTATTAATAGGTTAATTGTCACAACTAGTTAGTATAAAGTACAAGAAGATGAAGAAAATCAATTGAAGAATTATTCTTCCATATGTTGAACATCAATATCAGTAGTGTGATAAGATTCAAGAATAATAAAAGCCTAGATCGACATTTCTCAATTTAGTTTATATTATGCATATACTTCTTCAAATTATTGTAGTTTACAATATGAGCTGCCTTATAAGCTTCTCAAAACTCTAGATTTTAGCTTGTTTATGATCAGCAGATAGCAGATTGTCGAATTTTGTTCTCTTGTTTAAAACTAGTGATAATTCATCCCCCATAAAGTGCTGAATTACTCAAAAAGCAATTGAAAAAGAAAAAAAATAAATAATATAGATCGATGAAGGATTCTTTGAAACGTACACTATAGAGCAACATGATACATATATATGATTTACAACTGCAAATTTGCCACTATGAACAGATAACTAAGATCTTCAACCTTCAAAATTGATGTAGAGTTATGCCTGAGGCCACTGTGGACTAACCACCTGCATTAACCAGCACTTGAGCTAAGAATTCTCGGATTAACATAAAATCACGATAGACAGAATTCTCTGAACATTATTTTTATTGAGAAAAGCAGCCTAAACCTACAAGAGTCCTCAAAAGTCTCTAAACTGAAGGAGAAAGGCAGGGTTCATCACTATCAGGCTCCTTACTTAAATGGTTAAACCTTTTCTACCCCATAGCCACTAGCTCTAAACCTTTCATATTACGAGTAATCATATTCTCATATCAAGAAGATAAAGATAAGCGCAAAATGAGCTATCACATTGAACTTAAATGCATCATGCTCTTTCCATAGAAAATCCTACCACCAAAAATAGTTCATACAACTTCTGCATGTTAAGTACTCGTATGCTTTCTAGCAAAAGTTCACAACAGAAAATGTAATGAAACAAACAACAAATATGTATTAAGGCATTCTACAATGAAGAAAGTGGCAGCTATGGAAAGGGAAAAAGAGAATATGAAGACTCACCTCAAGGGTACTGAATACCAAACGCATTCTACTTGCAACAACAGAAGGTTCCTCAGCATGCCCCGCCACTGCCATCTGCTCTAACTGAAGAGTCTTGACAGGAAGCCTTTCAAACATAAAAAAGGAGACTTAATAAAATTATACTTCATAGTATAAAATCATCTATTGGTAGAAAAGTAAACACTATATATGGAACAAAGTGAGAAAAGAGCATACTACACAAGTATGCAACATTACTAAAATTGGAACTATGTTTTTCTCTTGTAACTTAGGCCAATGTATAGCAAATGGATTACATAGAAGATTTGACAAACGTATGTTTGCTAATTTTGGCCAATGTATAGCAATGCTAAGGTCTTTGCCTCTTCGGACGGATAGGGATTCTCTTCAGTAACTGATAATCCAATTACTAGGGAAATTGGGAAACTAGTTTTTGTCGAAAGTTCTCACATAGTAACTGGAGAGAATCTTCCCTCCTTCGAGAGACAACCAATTTAAGACTTAAAATCACTTTAACAGTTTCAAATATGATGCTTGGCCTCCTGGATCTATGTTACAGTGAATTTTTTTTTAAAGTAATGTCGTACAAAGGAAAAAGAGCTCACTTTGAGGTAGATCTCAAACCACATAACATTTTCCATGTTTTCTAAAGAGGGAAGAGGAAAAAAGAAAAGGTATACCAACATTAAATTCACAAGAAAGATGAATAGTTCAATGGATATATTGACCGGGAAAAGAGTGCCAAGATAGGCAAAGTTTCCTCAGCATATGAAATCATTCTTCAGAACACAATAAGATCAGTGGAGATTGTGGACTAAGGAAGAGGAGCAAATGTATTAGGCGAACCCAACTACATTGTACAAAAACAACTCAACATGATGAATAGTTAATCTTTAAAATAGATTATAAAAGGTATCACTTACCAAGCCATTCCCCTCATATAATATGCATTTGCAATGATTGCACAAAAGCCTTTCCACAGGTGTAATACATCTTCAGAAACTGGAGGTGAAGCAGACCATCTAACAACTGTTGGTTGTGGTGTACACAAGATGGTGATGAATATAATGCTCAACCAAAGAATACACTCATCAACCTGCATTAAATATGCACAAAAAAAGAGCACTAGTCAACAAATCCCAGCTCAAAAATACAAAATGACCAAGATGGCGAGAGAAAAATTCGCCTTTTAGGCAAGAGGTGGGCAGCAAGGCTACTGGTCACTTATAATCAGATAACAGAGTTTTGAGCACGTAAATGTCAAAAACACACACAGAGGATAACATATAGATCAGAGAATAATAACTTTTGAGTTAGAAACAAATAAAATACTAATGAGAGGGCCTATATTTGATCATTGCTAAACAGCTCAAAAAGTAGGAGGTAAAGCTCAAAGCCCCAAAGTGTTCTGTGTTTGAGTTGAAAGATAGAGCCAAGCTACTTTCATAGGCTCGTTAGTCAGTACATTAATTACCATAAAGGAAATACTACACTTTGCATTGACCAAATGGGTGAGAGGTAGTTAAAATGTTGGAACACCAAAGGCAGTTAATTTTCTAATTTACAATTAGTGTTTAATTGTACAAAAGTTTAAGCAGAGAAATGGTAACATAATAGGCACTTGTACAAGGGGTTTTTAAGTTCTTTCTAATCTTTCAAACTGACATGAAGCAACCTTAAATTGAAAACTTTGGGTCCTGTCCAAGACTTGCAAGTGATCCAAACCACAACTAACTAAACCATAACTAACCTCCTCCACCTGTTTAAGGGGTCTATATGTAGCACCATATGAACCACAGAAGCCAGTAAAAGTGATTCTAAAGCAAAATCACAGGACTCCAGAACACAACAGAATTCATCAACCACTCATTTTAAGATATATATAGCATTTCAAGGTGCAATGGTACGCACAACTCACTTCCTCAGATAATATTTTAGACTTCAGACTGGTACTTCCTCCATAATTTTCCATTGATTCTATTGTAACTCCAGATTCCTTCATATTTGCCAGCTCTTTCCTCAAACCTTCATCAGTGCATCCTAATGCATATGCATTCACCCCAGCTTCAATGAATTCCTATATCATAAAAGCATAAAAGGAAATTCAAAGAAAATATTAACTATCTTAATAGAAAATGAATATAGTATAGCAATGTAAGTAGAAGAAAAATATAAGTTAAAAGGAATTCCTAACCTTTAAATTATCAATGCCACCACGATCAATCACATTTCTGTACCGTCTAAATAAGCTGACAGCAATATTTGTTGATGAACGATATTCATCATCTGATGAAGTTGGATCTGAAGACCGGCACTGCAACAAGTGATACATAAATATGTATGTATGTCAACAATCAAAACCAGATTGTTAAATTAAAATCAGCTATGCATACCAGCCACCTCTTGGGAAGAGTGTCCTGAGAGAGAGAGCAGCCTTTCAATCGTCCATACCCTTGTCTGGAAAGAAAGCATTTGCGCAGACCTTCGGTATTGGAAAGACTTGATTGACTAGGACAGTTTAGAGGACTGAGCAATGGTATGACATTTGCAGTCTTAGGAAGGCCGAATTCCTGAAATATATTACTATCCACGTAACTCAAGCAGTTTCCAATAGCTCCCCCAGCATGCACCATCAGCATGGTTGAACCATGATATATATCTTCAAGCTGCAAATTGCCAATCCAAACCAAAAGTGTTTTAGAACCACATACACTAATAGTTTCTTAAAGTCCTTCTTAAAGTTCACAAAAGTTTATAGGTTTGTTTCTTAAAGTCCTTACTTCATGCAAGTGTTATTATGGTGGGTAGATTAATCACACATAGAGTAATTCCCAGAATAAGTAAAGAGTCACTCGGAATTTCTCTGATTCTTAACAAGTAATGTGCAAATTTTAGGTCTGTATCCTTATGAGATCCAGAAATCAGCTTAATGCCAGATCATGCTATGAGGAAAAAGTCATCAAAGCTAGGGGTCTAGGGGGTGGCAAGGCTCCCTATCCACCAAACAACTGGAATATACAGAACATTGTCCAATTCCCGTTATAAATGGTGTATTCTGTTAAGATAACTCTTCCAAGAAAAATTATCTTTTACCACCTGCTTTTCGAAGCCTTTTGCGACTGAAGTAGTGCTTCTCTTCAAAGGCACTACTTATAGTGTAAGTTGTGTGCTTAGTCAATCACAGAAGATTTCATACCAAGGTTTTATGGTTGCTGTAACTTTATTCAGTTCTGTAGGTTTATCCTGCTAGACCTTGCTAAACTAGTACTATTTGCTCACATAGAAAACCTTAAATCATATAGTTATGTAGATAATGACCTCTTCATTCAAATCCACGTATCCACACTTCAGGAATGATTCCACTAAAGCAAGCCATGAGTCACAAGGGAAAATTACTGAATCATACAAAATTGTAAGGGCTACTAACCCAGCTCGTGACTAGTAACTAAAGGTATGGCTGCATCGAACACCATCAATCTCTCACACAGGAGTATCATGGGACAATAAGTTAGGTAAGCAGCATACATGTAAACACCATGTTTTAACAGCAGCAATCACTTTTATTAGGAAAGAAGACTTTTTGCTTGGAACCAAAAATTAAGATGTTCATTTTGTTAGGCACTCATTAAGCATGACCAACACGGGATGTCTTCATAAGTTGCTGCTATTCTTTTAAAACCAGATCACCCAAACTCTCTGGACCCCTAAAATTAACAACGAATTCCACCATTAGATATAGTTGTCTTTCAATGAGATTTAATAAGTCCTCTACAGTTTAATCTTAAAGACAATCCTAAAACTGACACAGATTCCTCATCATCTAACATTGATTCATACTGTTTCCGGCAACTCCACAAATCATTCGACTAAAATGAACTTCAAATCAAAGCCTTATCTTACTGGTTATGATTGACCTGGTATAATTGAATCATCTCAGATTAAATTCAGGACCCAAAATGCACAGTAGCTGCTCTACAATTTTCTTACATCAAGCAATTATCAGATATATTTTCTAAAAAACAGGTAGACACTTTCCTGTGAAAACTCCAGTGCTTCCATATTACAATAAGTAACATTAGTATAGTTAAATTGTTTTTTCATATATACATCCCTAAGAACAAAGACGCTTAGTATAAGTAAAAAAAATCCATCCCCTAAAAATTTAAGATACAACTCCCTTCTTCATTTTTCAATCTTTACATTTCGATATGAGAGAAAAATGGTCAAAGTGGAAAGATTAAAAAGTAACAGAGGGAGCAATTTAGGAATTCATGACATAATCAAGCTTTCAACCATGATATTCATAATATTTTATAATTCTAATTGTAGCTTGTAATACAGTTATACATAGTCCTTAGAGTGTATGATTATCCCAGAATTAGTCACTCATAAAGGAAGGCAATTAGAAACTCCTACTGCCATGCCATTTTATTTGCACCCACAATACATATATCATTGTATAGATTTTACTCCACCCAAATCAAAACTTATACAGTAATAAAAATTACAAAAGACTACAACTTTAACAGAAAATATAAGGCATAAATCAAAACATGGGTAATTAAGGAAATGGCAAATAATTCTAAATAAATCAAAGCATGGGTAATGAAGAAAACAAACAATTCTAAGTCAAGAATATATGATTTCAAATTGAGTATATGGTAAAAATTAAAGCAATAAAAAAATTGGCAAAAATTATTCACAAAATAAAAATAAACAACAAAAAATAAATAAATAAAGTTACCTTTTCTAAGGCAAATATGATTGCCTGTGAAATTAATAGTGCAACCTGAAAGAAAAAGAAGAAAATCCCAGAAAAATAACCTTAGACAATTATTTAGAGAGATGATAGAAGAAGGATCAGTTGGGGTTATGCAAACCACCAACTTATTGTATGGTTCCAAAATATTTTTGTGGAATTTGAAATATGATTGATCGGAAAATGAAAGGGAAGATCTTTTCTCATTTTTTTTTTATTTTTTTCTGGTGTTAGAAAGACTGAAAATTTGTCTGTAAAAAAAAAAATAAAAAGACTGAAAATTTGAGTGTATCTATTTTCCCCAGATCGCTGCATTTGTTGTCATTGTTACTTTATTCTCCACACCCTTTTTTTTGGCTAAACTTAGGGTAAATAATGGTTTTAGGCCATGTTGTGCTAGACCCGACCCGTTGGTTATCAGTCCCAACCTCACTTATTTTTTATTGGGTGCACTAAACTACTCGTACCTTGAACCCACAAAATTTTGCAAGTCACTAGTTCACATTCACAATCCAAAATATTTCAAGATCAAAACTCAAAAATAAATTCGATTAATAGTGTCTTGTATAGTTGTATTACCCCTAAACCAAAACTTGTTTGATTGTTTCTGAGTCTATGTTAGCAACCAAAACCACACTCCCTTACTCCCTCTAGCCTCTAGCCTCTTGCAAAACTTCTTTCACTCCATATAATATGTCATCTAATAATAAATCAGTGCGATAAGAATGGAGCAACGCCGCAACGGTACTCTACTGAGCACTCTTCTGATCATATAGGGAAGGAGAGTTCGTGCACTCCAGTCTACCTTCCTCAAAAGCACATGCCATAAAATCCACACACAATTACGCTGTTGAAATGAAGACACAAGTATTTCATCAATTCTAGAGCGAAATCATCAACTCAGTAGTCATTATTCCCCAAAAATTACAAACTATTTTAAGGGTGTATCGTACTCTTCCTGAGAGTAAAATCTCAAAATTTTCAGAATAATCGAGCCAGGGAGTCTACAATTACATCCCTAGGTACTTGAGAAAGTATACCAAACACATAATGCGCCAGTTATAAGTAAAAGGTAGGGAAGATCTTGACCCCCAAAATTATGTGATTACAAGACATGGTAATTTATTTTTACTATGACTGAAAAACGGAACCACATTTCTTTTCTCATATATCAAGAAGCAACCTCCTGGGATCTTCCACCACATCCTTGACACGGCGCAAAAAGAGGACAGCCTCTCTCCCATCAATCAGCCTGTGATCATATGTCAGAGCAACATTCATCATTGGCCGTGAAACTACCTGACCACCAACCACCATTGGACGGTTCACAATTGAGTGCATGCCCAATATTGCTGACTGCCAAATTGAAAAGAAGAACATTAGACCAATAAACAAAGTTTGTGCATTACTCTCCAATACATATGAAATAGTATGAGAAATCCTCTGACCTGTGGAGGGTTGATAATCGGGGTACTCAGAAGGCTTCCATAAACACCACCATTAGATATTGTGAATGATCCTCCAGCCATCTCATCAATCGATATAGTACCCTCAGTGGCCTTCTTGGCAAGAGAGTTGATTCCTTTTTCTATATCAGCAAAGTTCATTTTGTCCGCATCTCGAATAACAGGTACCACAAGACCCTAGAAGCAATAAATCAGCATCAAGATCCAAGTTAGAGATAACTTCAGTTGACGTCGTGAAAAGGCACCCTAAATGTTTGGGTAACTAACAGTAGATAAATGAGCACATCTAACTCTAAGAAAAATCATATAAACCAAATAAGCCAACTCCACATGACTTTACAGCATATGCGCGAAAATAATTGTATATACAAATTCAATACATTTCATCTGAATGTAAACATGGTAAACCACTCAATGAAGGTCATGATAATATTAATTTTCTCATCAAGCTGAAAAATGACTAAATGAGTGAGAAACGACAACAAATGTATAATTTAGAATAGTGGTCTCAATCAATGATTATGATTTACACATCACTTACAAGAGAATTCTTCTGGTTTCCATACTGTATTCTACTCCATAGACCATGTAAAAAATCAAGAGTGGTAATCTAATTCACTTATTATTTGGCTTTATATAAACAACCCAATTCATATCATAAGGTATCCACAGCGTCCAGTCCATCAGCAAGTTTGACAAATAGCTAGAAGAATGGAATTTGTGGCAAATTTACAAAGGCATTTCATTGGTTCCCTAAGTGTATAGATATCTTTTCTTTCCAGGTTTTAATTTAAAAAAAAATGTATATATAAGAATATACTAGATATGATAGATCAAAAACAGACCTTAGGAGTGCCCACAGCGATACTAATATCAATGTATTCTCGGTATATGATGTCATCCCCATCAATAACAGCATTAACAATAGGTTGGCTCTGGAGTGCACTCACTGCTCCCTATAAATCACAACAACAAAAAACAGCATTAGCAATTCTAATCAATCACATAGCAAAAAACCACAACAAAGAAAATTACTTACTTTGACAAATCCTGACATAAATCCCAACTTCACTCCATGCTTCTCAACAAAGGCATCTTTATAATCAGAGCGCAGCTTCATCAAGTTTGTCCTAACAAAATTATATTGTCCACATTAGGCATATTAAATGACGAAACATTACACTCTCAATATAGAGATGCGATAATAAGCTTCTACTACAGCTTATTTAAAAAGATGGACTTCTAATTTGAGCTGTTCATAAACATGGTTAAAATTACATTGGATTGTGTAAAAACAAAAATGAGTCTTTAAGCATTGGTAATCACACTAATCAGTGAAAAGTCTGCACGAATATATATTTCTTTGATATTCCTTTATATATTTTATACATCAAAATGTATCCAATTTTCGGAATTAATTTTCTTAACTAAAACTGTTTTATTAAATCCCAAAGCACATAAATACTACTTACTCGCTGCTATAAAAGCCAGTGATCATTCCATTTGAATGAAACTTTCTCGGTGGAGGAAGGAGTTAATTTAGACACCAGAATGTGTGTACACACCTCTAAAACGCCAACAAAATAACTACTGTACCAACAGTTTTTGGTTACCACAGGTACACAACAACCAATTACATGGATGTTACTCCAATGAAGTACTTCCTCCGTTTTTTTATTATTGCACCATACATGTTGGGCTCACATTTTTTGGTAGTGGGAAAAATGAGGAGAGAGAAGGGTAAAAGTACAAATAAGGCCATGTGATGTAAACATAAAGTAAAGAATCAAGCGTTAAAAGTAAGGGTATATTGGATATTTACAGTGTGAACACACATATTTTGTTTCTTTAAATGGAAATGGTGCAATATTTGTGAAATTTCCTTAAAAGGCAAGTGGTGCAATAATAAAAGAACAGAGGAAGTATATGAAATTCCCAGAGAAGAAAGTTCCATTGCTATAAACTCATCTATGCAGTAGATGTTAATCATGTCATGAGGAGAGTTTTAAAAATGGTAGAGGAGAAACTACAATGATAACTCCAGCTGCGAAATCAGAGATTCTGTGGTACCATACTTCATTTCTGTTGGTTTTTTCAGCACAAGAGCACTACAAAATTACTTAAAATTTGGAAGTGTATCAACTAGATACTTATTATTTCAATATTTACAGTAAATTTCAGATTTTTTTCCCCCTTGCATTATAATATACAAGAAAATTAATGGTTTAACTTAGCAAACTTTAAACAATATATTCAACTTAAATTAATTACATCAGAAAAGTAATAGCTTACATATCAACTTCATTGAAAGTAGTCAACATGGCATAAGTGTTCTGAGAGTCTTTCAAACGGGTAGCAACTCGCTTTCTTAGTCTTGTCATTGGAACCTGAATAAATCATAAGTTCAAAAAACAATGAACTTCTAAATCAATGATTCAATCGTCAAAGATTTACGAATACAAGCAACCATCCCAAATGATTGTCAAAAGAGTTCACTTACCCTCCTCTCTCTGTCCTTGGGAGGTAGTTGAGGTTCTGAAGGTGAGGGTTTTGTAGATGGTGGAGAAGGAGCTTTAGGCTTTTCCTTGGGAGCAGAATCTTCTGACACGGGCTTTTCTTGAGCAGGAGTTTTAGCTTTTACCTTCTCATCCGTCTTGTCCTTCTTAGTTGCATCAGCCTTGTTGGTTGGTGACTCGGATGGAGCTACATGTGCGTGATCGCCAGATTTTGAAATGATAGCTATCTTAGTGCCAGGCTCTACGGTATCACCAACTTTGGCTAGAAGCTAAAGTTATAGGAAAGCCACATTAGTCAACAACTGGGTGCAGTGTTCAAAAAAGGACCAGAGCATTACCCAAGAAAAATAGAATAATCGTTGAGACTAATTCACATACCTGTTGAATGATTCCAGCTTCAGGACTACCAACATCCATAGTGACCTAATAAAATACAAAAATTAGCCTACCCCTTTTTTAATCAGTGAAAAATTACAGAAACAAGGTGGCAACATATTCCAAAATATACCTTATCTGTTTCAATTTGAGCAATTGGCTCATCAACTTCAACACGGTCTCCAGGATCTGATTAAAGTACAATAATGAGTTGCATGAGATACAATTTTCAGAAAAGATGAACCTAAGCCTCCTTGGCCAACTAACTCAACTTTTTCTCACATGCAATGCAAAACATTATAAATCATAAAGACATACGCTTTAAAAATGAAGCCAAAGTGCCATCAGTAATAGACTCTCCCATGAAAGGTACAACGGCTTCCACAACATCACCTGTATTGGAAATAACAAACTTGATTATATAACCACCTAGCTAGGTGCAAAGATTATCCACAGGGATCACTAAATAGACATTATCCCACCTTCTGATGAGTAGGACCTCTTCCATATTTGCCTAGAAGGACCAGTTTGCAAACAAGATCCAACTTCCCTGCGGATCCACACATAGATAAACAAATATAAGCCAAGTCCAAATGTCATGGATGAACTGACATCAGCTCATATAGCAACATATTATTTTTTTTTCGTAAGAATAGGTAAAGGAATGATTAAGGCAAAGCGACAAACAAACCTTAGCGACCTTAGACTAGCCTGACAACCTGTGATAAGTTTGGAGGACGATTTAGATTTCAGAACATGCATCATACTAGCATAATCAATTAGTTTGTTGATTGTAAGAAGACATACCCAAATTCCCATGTGAACCAATAATCCTGACGAGATGTGATCCTTGTCTGAGATGCAAAGTCTACACAATAACATGCACATTTTGCAAATAAGAATTGCTAAGTAATCATCCAAACAAATCTCTGCTAATAAATGAATTGTTAGTCAGGATTAAGAAAATAAGATTATATTAACCACAACCACACCAATAAATCAATATTGCAGTCAGGTGATTAGCTACTTTACATTTATAACCACCCACATAAATTGAGAGATCTGAATATCTGTTTTGCAAGATAAATGTGAAATTATCTCACTTCTTGAATCATGTCACTACATACTAAGCTGAGCATGGAAAATCAGAAAACATGGTAAGAGTATAAGACAGTAGAGACTTTATCACAGCCCTAGCCAGTCTATTTGGAAATCATACTATATCTGGAGCTGTCCTTTCCAATATGGCAATATGTGGACTAGAGAACCTAGTTGCAAAGAAAGAATTAGGGACTGGAGAATGTTTGGAAGCACAATGTACATATTTCAAGCTGTACTAATTTGAAAGGTATTGAATAAAATATTAAGATCTTTAGCTATTTGAACCTTGTTTGATGATTAAAAAAAATTGCCAATAAGGCTTTCCAGAAGCTTGTTAAATGTCAATCAATGCTGCAAAATGACTTCAGACTTATCCAGCCAGTGATGTATATCTAGGAAGTACAAATATCCTAGCCTAGAGCTGAAGATAGCCTTTCAGGCAACAATCCAAGATCAAGTGACTAAAAGAGTAGAATTATAACAAGTTTGTTTTCATGCTTGTAATACTTGTCCTGGGTAGGGAAAAAAGCGGAGTCACTTTTTTTTTTCAAGGATGCCAAAGGTGAAGGGCCAATTATCATTGTGATGTGCCTTTCAACATGCACAGACTATAACATTAGTCCTCTTGTGTAATTGATGTTATTCATAGAACTGCTGTAAATATTACACTAGTTTCATAGAACTGCTGTAAATATTACACTAGTTTAAGTAAGCGACTTATCATAACGCTATGATGCTAATATAAGAATCCCAAACATTTCTAATTTGAGATAAGATCAATTAGGTAGGGACTACTTTGTCTTAAAAGAGAATTGAGGCGGCTGAGTGTGATGCTCTTGTTGAAACGTTGTTTAGAGGGAAAAAATATGGGGAGTGAAGGCATCCACCTTTGATGGGCAAACTTAAATTGTCGCGCTTTGTTATGGTGCATTTGCATTCTTATTAGGCTGATTTAATTATGTTCACTAGCTTGAGCTGGGAATAAGCATTGGATCATGCAGCTTATTTGCTGGGTGACAAACCAATTCACCCCAAGAATCTCATTGAAGACTGGGAAGTCATTAGTAAAATCAAGTCAATAAAAGGAGATGGGGTTGAAAAGTGCTTCATTTTGAACATTTCAGGTCTAAGGAAACATGTTTGACATCTTGCTTATAGACTGACCTGTGAAAGAGGGTTTATATTTAAGCCAGGATGATTACAACCCTAATAGTCATGCAAATTGGACTCGGAAATGAGTATGTGAGGTTTTTTTTTTTTTTCCTTCTTGAGGGAGAAAGAGAGTTGTTGAGCTAAAATAAAGAATGAAAAATAGTTACTCTAGCAATGCTTCACAAGATCAAAATCATGAATGATATTATAAACAATGGTCATGAATGATATTTGGGCTATGAAAATCATATTTAGAGCAAGGATAGGTTTGAAGCTGATAAAAATTAACCTATACACAATTCTAATTGATGGTTGTCAACTAGACAAAACCTAATGCAGAGGAAAATCTTAGCAAAATTGAAGTTTTAATGGCCAATATTCGCACAAGCTATTGGCCATCAAATCAAAGCATCATGCTTCCCTAGAATGTAAGGTGTGTGTACTACATAGACGGTTCTTGTATAATACAAAGTATTTGTGTCGGTATAAGGATAAAAAGAAAAGGTATTAGGCATGAATTTTGAAAGAAAAATCATACATAACAACTAACTTAATCAAATTCATCATTTCTTGTACTGATACATAATCCCAATCCCAAATTGTAGCATGCAAAAAAAACATCAAAAATCTTTTTTCCATCCAAAACAATGACAAGTATAGATTAAGTTCTGGAATTACAAAATCAGGAGAACTATAATAATTACTAAAACGCACTCACTGCTCCAAACACAAAATAAAAACAAAACCCTCAACCTCATACATCTCAACATGACATACACAAGGTCACATAACAAGAGGCCCTGTTTCGACTACAAAGACAAGCTGCTTTCATACATTCACAATCTACACAGCAAAAAAATTGGCACAAACAATAAGTCAATAACAGTATGACTACTACATGAAAACATTAACATCCACATTCACATTCGCAACCTAAACCGCACCCCATAAGGTGATCAGACTAGGGAAAAACACACTCAAACAACACAAATTCCAGCTAAAATCCTCAACTCAGCAAAGAAAACAGAAATTCCAGCTGAAATCATCAACTTAACCAATAAAAACACAAATTTCCATCTAATTGAGCTTTATCTAACAACTACCTCTTTCGCGGCAGTAGCATAGCCGTGAGATCCGAAAGCTGGAGCAGATGGTCCAGAATTCCTTTGAATTTGACGCCCTAGCACCTGAATAACATCACAACAACGTCAATTTCCATCAATTCAAAAATCACACAAACATTTTAAAAAATTACAATCAATTCAAGAAATTGTTCTAAAATTTTACCGAAACACCACCACGAACAGCTTTTCGCCGCGCAATCCCTAACATATTTCTACAACCAAAAAAAAATTCAACGCAATTAATTTTCAAATATTTTCTAATACCTGATTTTGAAAATTCAAAAATCAAAAATTCATACAACAAAAATTCGGATCTAAATTTTTTTGCTAATTTAACCGAAGTCTTCAAACATAGAGTATATAATAACAAAATGAAATCGAATAAATCTAGTCTAAAATCTGAAATATAATCTAACAAAAAATGGTTGAAATAAGTTTACCTAAAATGAAGAATCGCAATTAGTTAATACAAACAAAAGAGTAAGAATTGCAGATGATTAAGTCTGGGAGAAAAATGGGTTCCCGAATTCGTCGGTCGTCTCCGTTTCGCCGAGCGCCGCGTCTGCCAAGAGAAGAAAGGGGTTTGTGTGTTTCTTCAAGGCTTTACTTGCGAAGGTTCTATAATTAAGTTGTCTGAAAAATTATTAAAATTGTTAAAAGAATTTACGGATAGAAAAGTTTTGATTAATAAAAGGAGTAAAAGAGTGAAAGAAGATGGGTGAAATTGTTGTAGTGTTATCATCGTATTCTTACTTCTATGGCATTGTATTTATAGCCATGAGTTACACTAATAATACAGCAATTACTCACATAGAGCCATATGAGTTCACAAGTGTTTGGACCTATATGAGCATTGTGTAATCAAATCAATAATTGGCATTCACTTATTAGACTTATCTTCTAACACTCCCCCTTGAATGCCACTAAAAATCTTGTTAGGTAAAACTTTATGGGATAAGACCCATAGCCAAAAGAGTACACCAATATTATTGTATTATATGCTTTGGTATACTGCCTCGTTAAAAACCTTGTCAGGAAAAACCCGGTGGGATAAAAACCTGATCGAAGGGAAAAAGAGTGCAGTACATATAATACTCCCCCTGATCTCAGCATAGTTCACGAAGATGTCACATTCCGATTTTGTGAACTAACTGTTCAAATTTCTTCGAAGGAAGTGATTTGGTGAAAAGGTCGGCAAGATTTTCACAAGACTGAATTTGCTGGATATTTATTTCCTCGTCCTTTTGCAGATCATGTGTGAAGAACAGTTTTGGGGCAATATGTTTCGTTTTATCTCCTTTAATATATCCTTCAGTTACTTGAGCGATACATGTTGTATTGTCTTCAAAGATGATGGTTGGGTCTTCTGTTATTGCGTTCATTCCACACTCCTTTTGGATATTACTGATCATCGACCTTAGCCACACACATTCTCGTCCTGCTTCATAGAGGGCTATCAACTCTGCATGATTTGATGATGTCGCGGTCAATGTCTGCTTTGTTGATTTCCATGATATTGCAGTGCCGCCATAAGTGAATACATATCCATTTTGTGACTTGGCATTTTGAGGATCTGATAAGTATCCAACGTCTGCATACCCAATGAGAGCAGCATCTTGTTTTGGTTGGTAATATAAACCAAGGTCTTGTGTCCCTCGTAGGTACCGGAGTAAGTGTCGAACTCCCTTCCAATGCCTATATGTTGGTGCATTGCTGTGCCTGGCTAACAAATTCACAGAGAAAGCTATGTCGGGTCTAGTATTGTTAGCTAAGTACATTAAGGCTCCAATTGCACTTAAGTATGGTACTTCTGGACCCAGAATCTCTTCATTTTCTTCTCGGGGTCTGAATGGATCATTTTTCATATTCAAAGAACGAACAACTATTGGGAAGTTGGTTGGGGTTGCTTTGTCCATGAAGAAACGTTTCAAAACTCTTTCTGTGTAGTTTGATTGATGGACAAAAATGCCATGACTCAAGTGCTCAATTTGTAGTCCAAGGCAAAATTTAGTTTTCCCAAGGTCTTTCATCTCAAATTATTTCATCAAGTATTTTGCAGTTTTCTCGAGTTCATTTGGGGTTCCGATGATATTTAAATCATCAACATAAACTGCAATGATAGCGAATCCTGATTGTGATCGCTTTATGAAAACACAGGGACTAACTTGGTTGTTTTTGAATCCTTCTCTCATAAGGTATTCACTCAGACGGTTATACCACATCCTACCAGATTGTTTCAATCCATAAAGTGACCTTTTTAGTTTTATGGAAAGCAGTTGTCTAGGCTTGTGGTTTTCTGGTAGTTTTAGTCCTTCGGGGACTTTCATGTAAATGTCCGTATCGAGTGACCCATACAAATACGCAGTCACTACATCCATTAATCGCATTTGCAGTCCTTTTGTGACTGTCAAACTTACCAGAAATCTTAATGTAGTTGCATCAACCACTTGAGAATATGTTTCTTCATAATCAATCCCTGGAATTTGAGAAAATCCTTGGGCTACAAGTCTTGCCTTGTATCTAACTATTTCATTTTTCTCATTACGTTTTCTTACAAATACCCATTTGTATCCAACGGGTTTTACACCTGCTGGTGTAAGGGTTATTTTCCCAAAAACTTCTCGTTTTTCAAGTGACTTTAACTCAGCCAGCATTGCCTCCTTCCACTTTGGCCAATCACTCCTACGTCGACATTCTTCTACAGTTCTTGGTTCAACATCATTTTCATCAGACACGATGTCGATTGCGATGGAATTTGCAAGTGTTTCATTAACGATAACATCTTTCCTATTCCACTGAGTCTTTGTAGAGACGTAATTCATTGAAATTTCATTGTTATCGATGTTTTGAACATCTTGTTCATTCCCCGTAGGATTGTCTTCTTGTTCGTCCCCTTTTGGATTATCATCATTTTCTTTACTTTCATCCACATTTGGTCTTTGTTGACCTTCTGACGGGGGAACATTATTAGTCTCATTTTCTATTCCATCCAATCTTTTTAGTTTCCTTGGCTTAGAATCTTTTGAACCAAGTGGTCTTCCACGCTTTCTGCGTGCCTGAGATTCATTTTCTATGGCCTTATTACCAGTTGGGATTTCAATACGTGCAGGGTCATTTTCTGCTGGTATATGTGATTTTGTCACCTTCTTTGTGTCTACAAATGCATCGGGCAATTAATTTGCAACACTTTGTAAATGAACAATTTTCTTAACTTCTTGTTCACACATATTTGTTCGTGGGTCTAACATCAACAGTTGTGTTGCATTCCAAATGAGTTCAATTTCTTTCTTATGTGGGTCCACTTTCTCTCCCCCTAAGGCTGGGAATACTGTTTCATTAAAGTGACAGTCCGCAAATCTAGCCGTAAATAAGTCACCAGTCAATGGTTCAAGGTATTTAATTATAGAGGGGGATTCAAACCCGACATAAATTCCCAGCCTTCTTTGTGGACCCATTTTTGTTCGTTGGGGTGGAGCAATGGGAACATATACAGCACAACCAAAGTTTTTTAGATGTGAGATACTTGGTTCTCGACCACAAACAAGTTGAAGTGGTGAGAATTTATGATAAGCTGTAGGTCTCAATCTAATTAGCGCTGCTGCATGTATTATAGCATGTCCCCAAGCAGATGATGGCAATCTTGACCTCATTAATAATGGTCTTGCAATCAATTGTAATCTCTTAATTAGTGATTCAGCTAGACCATTTTGTGTATGAACATGAGCTACTGGGTGTTCAACATCAATTCCAATTGACATACAATAATCATTAAATGTCTGGGATGTAAATTCCCCAGCATTGTCAAGTCTTATTTTCTTTATTGTATGATCTGGGAATTGTGCTCTTAATTTGATGATTTGGGCAAGTAATTTTGCTAAGGCAACATTTCTACTTGAAAGTAAACTAACATGTGACCATCGTGTAGAGGCATCAATTAAAACCATGAAATATCGAAATGGTCCACATGCTGGATTAATTGGCCCACATACATCTCCCTGAGTTCTTTCCAAGAATTTTGGAGATTCAGTAGCAATTTTGTTCATAGATGGCCTTATTATTAATTTGCCAAGTGAACATGCAGAGCATGTTAATTCATCTGATCGGGGAATTTTGACATTTCTTATTGAATGTCCAACTGAATGTGCTATTATTCTTTGCATCATCCCAGTTGCTGGATGTCCCAAACGATCATGCCATAAAATAATCAAATGTTTGTCATCTAACTTCTGGTTAGATATCATATTGATTTCCACGGGTCGTATGTTTATACGGTATAACCCCGAAGAGTATGCTGGCAATTTCTCATATATATGTTTCTTGCCATGTTTTTCTGCCGTGAGGCATATATACTCTTTTTGATATGTCGTCATTGTTTCTAGATGATAGCCATTTTGGCGTACATCTTTAAAGCTTATGAGATTTCTTCGAGATTTACTCGAATATAAAGCATTATTGATTATTAATTTTGTTCCATTTGGAAGCATTATATAAGCCTTTCCAGATCCTTCAATTAATTTAGCTGACCCGGAAATGGTGTTTACATTTGCTTGAAACAACTTTAGTTGTGAAAAATATTTTCTATCTTTTAAGATAGTATGTGTTGTTCCACTGTCCAAAAGGCATTGATATTCGGAACTAACTTCAGGTAGATCCATATCTTCATAAAATAAATTTAAGATTAGTTTAGAATAATATCATACAAACTTTTATTGATGATAAAGATTTAAAGTACATGACTAGAAATTTAAAATACAGGGAACTAAGAAAATACATTAAAACATAGCATATGTTACATTAGTAGATGGGGAACCTAAGCATTGTTGTTTTCTCCAAGAATGAAATCATTCCCAGTTTCAGCATTGTCCATGAAGAAATCAGACACATCAAGGGTAGGACATGGAGCATTTTCTTCATTAACATAATTTGCTTCTGCATTTTTCTCTTTTCCTTTTACAGAAGTCTGGTAAAGGTCTACCAAATCTTTGGCCGTACGACAAGTACGTCCCCAATGTCCTGTCATGCCACATCTGTAACATGTGTATTTTCCTTTTGAAAGAGTTTGTTTGTGGCTTCCAGATGACTGTCCCTTCTGTTTTTCAAAATTTTTGAAATTACTGTTTCTTTGAAAATTGTTTCTACCACGTCCTCGGCCTCGTCCGCGATAATTTCCACGGCCTTTTCCACGGCCATTGTAATTTCCACGTCCACCTCTTCTTGTAGCATTTGACTCGGGTGGATAGGAATTTGTTGCATTTGCCTCATGATGAGTGGCCAAAGACCCAGTTGGTCTTAGGTTATGATTTTTCAACAAAAGTTCACTATTTTGTTCCGCAACAAGCAATACACTCATTAATTCATTGAACCTTTTAAAACCTCTTTCACGATACTGTTCTTGCAACAGTATGTTACTTGCATGAAAGGTAGTGAGTGTTTTTTCAATCATCTGTTCATCCGAAACTGAATGATCACAGTATCTCAATATAGACACTATCTCATGTATGGTTGAATTATAATCAATTACAGATTTGAAATCCTGGAACCGTAAATTTGTCCAGTCAAATAATGCCTTAGGAAGGAGCACCCTTTTGTGGTGTCCAAATCTTTCATTAAGGCAATCCCATAA